GTTTTCATTTTACCTCAAAAATTACTATTTCTTTTTGGGTACTATCAATGAGTTCCTTTTGTCAGTATTTCAACTTGATCCTCTCACTATCTTTCTAAATGGAGTAGGTATTCTTGTGAAATTTTTGGATTATATATAGATCATGTTGCCACATTCTCTATAATAATTTATTTCATGCCATTTGAATGATGTCACACGAAACTTGCTAATCATATTATTTTTATAATTGAGAAGTGAATCAACCATTTGTTTGACATATTTAGTTCATTTATTTTCACCTATTAATAATAATGTCACACTGTCAGTCCTGTATGATGAAACGAGTATATGATATATCATATTGTAACCAATCATCGTTCTTTGCTATCATTGTGCTCAATGCTCTACGAATAACTCACCTTCATCTTTATTTTATTGAATTCTCTCTTTGATAAAGGATATCATATGCCATTTGGATTAGTCAAAGGTAATGTTTCTAAATTCATGACACTTTAAACACTTTCATGTTTGGGGGTTAGAAGATGAGTTGTTGTTCATATTGATGTGACTAGAGTTTGTTTACACAAACTTGGAGTCCAAATTTATGGACCTAGTTGTGACATCCTTGCACATGTCATCATCATTTTTGATGTTTTTTGAAGTATTGAATTTGAGATTTTTTTTTCATATTGTTCATAATGTGGTTTGAGTTTGTTAATTGATATTTTATGTATTTTAAGTATTGAATTTGGACAATTAGCATAAAATTTATCGAATAATCATGACATAAATACTTTAATACTGTGTTGTATGGTCTTAACAGAACACATTGGAGAAAAAATATTCATGTAGCTGACCACACATAGTGGGATAAAGGCTTGTTGTTGTTGTATAGTGAACTAACTGATCATGCAATTTGTGATTTATTAGCTACCAATCAATTTTTCTTATGTGATAGGAGTTGTTATACAAGATCTAATAATTGTAAAGAGAAAATATTATTTCTCTTTTGTTATACAATGATTTCGCTCATTTTTTATTAGTTTAACAAACTAATTAGTATTTAGTGTAATTAATCTTTTAGGATATGTTTTTTTATTACTAATATTCTTGAAACAATCAAATAATCTATAAAAGGTTTCTTTACAAAACATTTAATTCAAAAATTTTATTATTTGATTTAAAATAAAAAGTATTTCATTTGAAAACATAAAATATCAATTAACCCTTTTTTCATGAGTTCTTTGTAATCTTTCAATGTTTTTACATTTATTTTAAAATTTGTATAATTTTGCTTTTTATAATTTATTTTAACTCCTTTTTATTTTCCTTAATGTCAATTAACCCTCATTTGCATGCATAGTTGCTTATTCAAGTGTGCTTTGTGCACGTGCAAATATGCTAGTATTATGAAAAAAGTCACGATCCAGTGAAAAAGATAGAGTGATTTATAATTAATCAGTTACCATTCCAAAAAATAACAAATACATACAATATAAATATTAATAAATTTGTAAATATAAAATTAGAAATATGAAATCAAAGAAGTTATGATAAATTTTAATTTATATTTTGGAATGATTTAGATTGTTTATAAACTTTCTTGATTTTTATTTTTTATATTTATTAAATTTAAAATATGGTCAATATTTAGGAGAGATTAAAATAAAAGAAATAATTACTTATTTATTCAACTTTATTCATAAATAATATAAATTATGTATATATTATTATTATTATTATTATAGCATCAAAAATTATCTTGATCGGGCACGAATCTCGAGGCAAAATCAAGCTGAAAATTTATAAAATTAAATCTGGGATCACTTGAACTCCGATTTCAGTGAACTTACAGTCAAACTGAGCATCTCGGAAATACAAACCCAACGACACCAAATTCGCCTCAATCCGAGCCCAAATGAGTCCAAATCAAGCACCCAAAGTGCTATTGAAATGTTCAAATTACAATTTGAGTTATAAAACAGTTTTCAAATATGACGTTCCTATAGTCAAATCGAGCGGCTCAACAATACAAATCCAACGAGCCCAAGATCGCCGAATTCCGACATCATTAAGTCCTTCAAATGTCTGATAAATGATACATAATCAAGGGATTCAATATCGACCGTCCATCCGACCACTCCCTATTTACCCCTGATATATCACCTATTTTGCAAGCCATGCCACTTCAGAATATCTATAAATAGACCCCTCATTTCTCATGAGAGACGACCAAAGCAATAAGAATAAGAGAAGGATTGGAGGGAAAAAACTCATCCATGACCACCGCCGAAATTCTGCCCGATGCCCGAGTGACGCCAAAATTCTGCCCGACACTCGAGTGACGTCGGAATTCTTCTTGACGCCTGCGTGACGCCAGAATTCTACCCAACACCCAAGTGACGCCAGAATTCTGCCTGACTTCAGAATTTCGCCCGATCTCAAAGTGATGTTGGAACTCTGTCCGATCTCAAAGTGATGTTGGAACTCTGCCCGACGCTGTAACTGGATTTCAATCTAGAATTGATTCATTGTAATATGATCGTCCTAAATTTCAAGGACGAGTCAACCTCTTTTATCTCAAACAAACTCTAGTGGATCTTTTTTAACTGGGTGTGGCCCCGTGGTTTTTTCCCTTTTCAGGGTTTCCACATAAAAATCTTGGTGTTTCCATTTCTCTCATGTTTGTGTGCTAGATATCCATACAACGCAGAGGAAAAATTTTTTTAACTCTATCGCCGCGTATATTCTAGCGCAACAATTATTATTATTATTATTGTTGTTTTGTTGTTGCATCCTGGAATATTTGCTGCGGTAGAGAAATATAAAATATAACATCTTAGTTTTGTATGAAGATCTAACACACATGTAGATAAAAGAGAAGGTGTAGCGTTCATAAGAGACACTAAAGATTTTACATGGAAACTCCTGAAAAGGAGGAAAACCCATAGGGCCTGGCTCAGTTTGAATGGATCCACTAATATTTGCAGTATATTACAAATGAGGCCCTTCATTGGAGGGAAGGCCTTGACTTGATATAAAGATATACATCACATATAATGCATTACATGGTAAAAACTAGAAGAACAATATTGATATGTTCATTTAATAGACAGAATCATAGTTGACAGTCAACAAAGGTTGTAAGAATCGTAGTCGGCAGAAGACAGAGGTTAGAAAGACTGTTGTCTAGCGATAGAGGTTGAAAGGAGCATAATAGGCGGCGGAGGTCAGAAGGACCGTAGTCGATAGGAGACAAGGGTCATAAAGGCCATTGTCCAACGATGGAGGTCGGAAGGATCACAGTAGGCTACAGGGTGGGAAGGATCGTAGTCGGTAAGAGATAGGGGTCAGAAGACCGTTTTCGTTCGGCGGTGGTTCGGCGGAACTCCGACGTCAGGTGGTGGTTCGACAAAACTCTGGGCGTCAAGTGGTGGTTCGGCGGAACTCCGAGCATCAGGTGGTGTTCCAGTGAAACTCTGGGCGTCAGGTGGTTGTCCAGTGGAACTCTAGGCGTCATGTGGTGGTTTGGCGAAACACCAACGTCAGGTGGTGTTTCGACAGAACTCCGAGTGTCATGTGATAGCCTGAAGGAACTCCGAGCATCGGGTGGTAGTCCAGCGGAACACCGGCGTCAGGTGGTGGTTCGATAGAACTCCGAGTGTCATGTGGGTGGCCTAGAGGAACCCCGACATTAGGTGGTGGTCCGATGGAAGTCCTAGCGTCTAGTGGTGGTCTAGGAGAAGTCTGGGCGTCAGGTGTTGGTTTGACGGAACTTCGAGCGTCAGGTGATGGTTCAGTGGAACTCTGCATCGGGTGGTGATCCGGTGGAACTCCAGGCATCCGGTGTTGGTCCGACGGAACTCCAGCGTCAGGTGGTGGTCTGGCAGAACTTCGACATCAAGTGTGGTTCGTTGGAACTTCGGGCGTCCGATGTTGTTCTGACGGAACACCGACGTTAAGTGGTGGTCTAACGAAACTCAGGGCGTCAGTTGGTGGCCCGATGGAACTTCGGGCTTCAGGTGGTGGTCTAGCTGAACTCCGCCATCAGGTGGTGGTCTGACGGAACTCCAGCGTCAGGTGGTGGTCCGGTGAAACTCCAGGCATCAGGTTATGGTTCGGTGGAACTCCGGGCGTCAGGTGGTGGTCCGACGGAACACCAGGCGGTGGTCGATGAGGCAAGAGCGATCTCCGATCTCTCTCTTGCTCTCTTTCTTGGGTTCCCTTTTCAAGAGGAAGGAGGGGCTAGAGTGACATGACCCGTAAATAGGAGGAAGATCAAGGGTAAATGGAGAATGGTTTAGATGGACAATCGATGTTGAATTCCTTGATTGTGGATCGTTCACTAGACATTTGAAGGTCTTAATGATGTTGGAATTCTGTGATCTTGGACTCGTTGGATTTGACTCGTCGAGCCACTCGATTCGATTATAAGCATGTCACATTTGGAAAGCATTTAATAATTCAAATGGTGGCTTGAACCTTATAATGACGCTTCGGTCCTTGAGTTGGACTCATTTAGGCTCGAATGGAGTCGAATTTGATCTTGTTGGTTCATATTCTTGAGACGTTTTGTTTGAGTGTAAGTTTGCTAAAATTGGAGTTCAGATGGTTCCAATTTTAATTTCAGAAGTATCCAACTTAATTTTTCTTTGAGATTCGTGCCTGATCAGGATAAATTTTTGATGATGTATAAATTATTATTATTATTTTTATTATTCAAACTAAGTTATCATTTTACTATTTTATCATGGATATTATTATTATTAAATAATATCTACAATATTTTTTTTTTCAAATCTTGGCCTCCTTTTATATAGCCTTTCCGGTGTACTAAGCACGTAATGTTGTGAGTCTTGTGACACTCTTACCCCAAAATATTTACAGTTATAACAATAATGCCAACAAGTTAAGAGAGTAATTAAGTAATCTATCCGGTGCAGAATTGTCACTCCAGATTTGACCCGATATCCGTCTTTTACTGCTTCGCACCGCATCCTACGTTGATAAGTGATGGCGCAAGTGCTGAGCCATCTCATACTTCCATCGATCGCTACGGAAAAAATCGATAGAGAAAGAGACGATCTTTTAGAAGGATGCTCGCGTTGTTCGAGAAGTCGGTGGCGCAGTCGCCCGAAGGGCTGAGAAGCCCGGCCGTAGGCGGACAAGAGAATGACGTTCACGGCGTTGTGGCGCTTCTGCAGCACTTTTCAGAAGTCAAGGAGAGATCAGTCACCATAAGCCTCGGATCTGCCTGTGCCTTGGCGTACTCTTCCGTGAAGTACAGCCCACTTCTACCCCTGTGAGTGATTTACTTGAATTGGAAGGCGATCGATTGGATGTGCGCGATAGATGGATCTCTTTTAGTTTGGTCTAGGGCAATAGTTTGTTGTCTTTTGGTGTTTGGAACGATAATTAAAATAAGAAAGAAAGATCAATATCAAATATATGCTGATTCAGATTTATTTGGGGGCGATATCATAGTTTTACTGGTAAATACGAAACAAATCTAATTGAGAGAGAGGAGACAAAAAGAGGAAAATTTATGTCACTCGTCCTCTTACCTTCTATTTTTTTAAGGTTCATACAAAGGTTCAACACTAAAAAATGATTAAATGGAATCTTGTCCATAGATTGCAGTTAATGGAAATAATGGAAGATAAAGTTTCTTGATAGTCAATGCCATATGCTTGAGTGTACTATTTTTTAATGTCAGACTTTAAATTTATCCATGCTCTCATTTTCTTTATATTTGAAGGTAAAGATTCATTTGCATCTAATCATTTTGTTTCCTTGCGAAAGTTCATAAACTTTCCTCCTACCATTCTTTTAAAGTCTAAATTTCTTCCATTTAACCTTTCTTTTAGTAGGGGGTATTGGAAGCCTCATGAACATTATTTTAACTATATATTTTATCAAGAGAAGTGATAAAATAACAAAAAATTATTCCTTATTGTGTGTTAAGAAAAGATAAGAATTTGTATATAAATAGGTGGAGAAATAGTTATCTAAGAAAGAAACAATTCTAGAAACCATCCATTAATTCTATAATTCAGAACTAGCTATGCAATAAAAATGGAATCTTGTCCATAGATTGCAGTTAATGGAAAGGTGTTGTTCACAAATTATTGGATTGCTATAGATGTAAAGCTATTGTTCACGAATTGTTGGATTCCTATATATTATAAATTATTGTCCACAATTTATTGGATTATTTAACAAAATTTTAATTTATCTATTTTTAATAATTCATAATATTTTTTTTATTTATGTAGTAATTAGAATTCTTTGACAGGACTAAGGCATCTAGGACATTCTTGGGGATTTCATGCCATGAAATTTGTATATGGAGTCTTAGATCAATAATAATAGAGTTGCACAATTTATGCATCTATAGCAATCCCTATTGAACCTCAACACTTTATAGTAATCATGTGTTGGTAATTTATGTTTTATGTTTCACAATTTATGCATCTTTCTTGATATAGTGATTAGAAATGTTCTTAATTTTTTTTACCTATAATGTGTAACTTAAGTTACCTTTCCTTATGAAAGCTTCTATCTGATGTCCTTGCTGTTTTCATGCTCCTACTTCAATTGGTCATTTCTTGTTGTACAAAGTTCAAGAGTTTTTCCTATATCATTGGTTTTTGTTTGAGTCCATTTTCAATGGTTCAAACCTCCAAATTCAAGTCATAATTTGACATTTTGACTTGGATACTATCAATGTTTAATTGACTATTGAGGCATTTTTTTTATGTAGGGCGAGGTGTAAGCTTCAAGGCATTTTGAGGCATAAATCTTATAATTAAATCATTAAATTAATGAAAAATATGAAACAATAAGTAACATACTGACATTAAATAAGATGTTATAAAATGTAAAAGATTATTAAAAGTTGTATAAGGTTACCAACAATACTAAATAAATAGTCTCTCCTAATATCTATTTAATATAAACAATTAATTTAAAGTCATAATTTACGAATTTAATAGTCTCCACTATTCTTATCGCTTTGGGGTTCTTCACTATGATCATTAAAGTAGTTGATTTTTTTTTTCTCGTCTCTCATACTAAAAAGAAAGAAATGAGTGTCCAACAAGAAGATGAAAGGTTTTGAAGGAGAATCAATGGTGGCATAGCGATGATGCTGATGTATCCAGATCGAATGCAAATGTAGGGTTGTATGGTGTGCGATTTTGTATTTAAGGTTTTGCGATTCTTCTCAAGTTTAATTTAAGTATAATAAATAGGTTTATTTATATATTTAATTTATAAATTAAAATTTTAAAATTACTGAAAACCTAATTTGAAGTTTTATGTCTCCTTATAGTGTTAAAATTGTGCTGAAGCATGCAATGAGGTGCGCCTCACTCCAACTATGGCGTAATCCTCATCTGGCAAGCATGAGGCGTTGGCTTTATGACTTTTATTTTTTTAAATTGCATTGAGGTGAGCCTTGAGGGTGGGCCTCTAATTATGCAATTTTAACCTATGGATACAATGTGCCAATGTTTTGCATGTATAATACTTTAAGCAATACAGATATGTTTATCCTCTTATTTTCTCTTTCCTATTGGGTTGCTCAGCGTTGGGTTAATACTCTCTTGCAATTGGAATAGTTTTATCAGCAAATTTATTGGGACTATTTGGTTACTAGTGGAATTTAGTAAATCCTATTAATACATATATTTAACAATTGTTGAGATGATTAAAACATGAAAATTGTTTGGTATGAGAACCTTTAAGTCTTGCTAAATTCTGATAAATCTATTTTTTTAGGATTTAAGAATTGTGAGAGGAAAGATTCTTAAATTTATTATGTCCTTTGAATGGTGGGTTAATAAATCATGGATTTAATCAATAACATGACTGAGATAGGATTATCAAAAGAGGATTTGAAGTCTCCAAAAAATTGTTTATAAGGATTTTAGCTAAATTTTAAATTCGGTCTAAAATAGGGTATCCAGCGGTCTATAAAGTTAATTTTGAAGCTCATCTTGCATGTTCCATTTTCCACTGGATTATTTGTTCCCGCTTTGACACTCCAAGCTCCTGGGCCGGATCGTGACAATATTTGTGTTTCTCAACAGCATCCTTGATAAAGCATCTCTTATACGCTCCTTCTTGTGTGGTCACAGTGTTCACATCTGAGATTTTTTTTTCTTTATTTCCCTAAATATTGTTTCATCATTGTCCAATATGTTTTCTTCTGCTATTTTTTATTCTAACTTGTGTACAAAAGTATTTCTTCTCGCTTTGCTAATTTGCTCGCCTTTTAGAGGACTAATGTTTCTCTATGATAATAGTATGTTTACTTTTACAGGTTATTTGCTGTTGTGGATGATATATTTTGCCTGTTTGAAGGGCATATTGAGAATTTACCTCATTTGAAGCAACAATATGGGTTAACCAAGACTGCCAACGAGGCTATTATTGTAATTGAAGCATACCGAACATTAAGAGATAGAGGACCTTATCCTGCTGACCAAGTTGTAAGAGATATCCATGGGAAGTTTGCCTTTGTTCTATTTGACAACACCTCAAAATCCACCTTTATTGCTGTTGTAAGTACCCCTTTCTTGCTAATTTATGTTCTTTTTTGTATGATGTACCAATGGGGATCACGCATCATAATAGAAATCCAGAACGTTAAATCCTCACAATGAAAGAGCTACAAAGGTTACCAATTACTGTTATTTATTATGTTGGAAGATTTATAATTCTTCCATGAAAATTTTTCTTTTGTTTGCATGATAAAATATTTGCTTTAGTGAGATCTTTTTTTAGGAGAATTCAAGTTGGATGGTTGAACTGGAGGAATACTTTGGGTTTGTTGTGTGATAGAAAGTACCACTCAAACTTAAGGAAAAAGTTTATAAGATGGTGGTGGGACTTGCACTGCTTTATGGCACAAAAAGTTGGCGATTAAAAGAGAAGCATAATATTAAGTTAAGTGTTGTTGAGATGAGGATACTCAAGTGGATGATTGGATTTACTCTTAGTGATAGGATACAAAACGAGCATAAGGGTTGGAGTAGCTCCAGTGACAGATAAGATTAGATAGAGTCATTTAGATGGTTTGGTCATGTAAAACGGCATCCTTCCGATGACCCTGTTAGGAGAGTATATATATTTGGCCTATGTTAAGAAAGGTAGAGGTAGACCTAAAAAGACTTGGTTAGAAAATATTAGAAATGACTTTTCTTTATTTGATTTAAATGAGAATTTGACTATTAACAGAATACAATGGAGAAAAAATATTCATGTAGCCGATTCCACGTAGTGGGATAAAGGTTTGATGTTGTTGTTGTAGTGAGATCTTTTTTTTTTTTTTAAATATTTGTATTCTTAAAAAAATCATTTCAAATGAAAATAAAACATTTTCTTAACTTATTTCTGGTTTTAAATTGTTTTTCATAGCATCAAGGGATTAGGTTTGATCTGTTATCATTTGTGTCGCATCATGGATAACATGATTTCCTTTCAAAAGTATGTGGGTCGCAATTAACTGTGAGATTTTCCTTCCCCCTTTCTCAGCATTATTTTTTCCTATTGTGTTGATTCAGTGTTGATGGCTTAGTTGGGGACCTACGGACTCTTTAATATGGACTTTGGTTCTATGGACCATATGGTTAATAGGGATGATGACTTGTGTTGGATCCAAAATTTTTGAAATGAGGGGGCAAGAGTGATGGGAAATCGTTTCTTAAATTATTGAGGGTGGGGGTGAGTTTACATAAAACTTAATCTTGGGTACTTAATGAAGATGAACATTGCTAGCCGTTTTCTTTAAAGGAAGCTAGAGGATTAAATTTGTACATTTTGTTTTTTCACAAATTGTGATTATGTCAAAGTTCACTTGATGCAATGGCTACATTTCATTTTCTAATCTTTCAAGTTAGAATTGCAAATGGGGAAAAGTTCTGAATTGGGGATTGGAAGTATGTCCCTTCTCCAAACTCTCCTTAGTGCTATTGTAGCCTTATTAATCTAGATTTGTAAGTTTGCAATTTCCCCAAACAAATTTATATGATAAAAAATCATTTGGAGCCCACTTTTTTAAGCGGCCCAATTGAAATGGAGAGTGTCATGCACTTTTATTTTAAGGGATTTTTATTGGTCCACCTCTAACAAGAGAACTATAATGCAATCCTCTATTTTTCTCATTCAGGATTAGAAATTAGTGTGGATCAGAGAATGAACTAGTCTAAGGAAATTCTATAGCTTCTCATTCTACATTCTCTCTCTCCTTCTTTCTTTTATTTACTTAGCTTTCTTGTTAGCAAGGTCGTGGTGTTACTCACGGATAATTTTGGATCCAATATCCTCTATGTTGTGTTAAGCATGAAGGAATGCCTGGACAAGATTATGAACATTGAAGAAACTAAATAGAGAGAAATTTGTAGGAATGGAAAAGCATGACTTTATCACCAACAAATTATTGAATGAAATAGAAGAGAGACTACCAAAATGATTCCAACAATACTGAAATGTGTTGCTGGAGCTACTGGAAGAATTGAAATTCTCGAGGGATATTTAATTTAAATTATTTGCTAGTAGCCACTGAGCTTAAGGGCATTAACTTCAACTTTAGTGATAAATGAGACCTTCATTCATAAGAGTAGCGAAGAATCTGCTTCTCATAAAACCAAAAGTCATAAGCCTCAATTGGCGAATGAATCTTTAAGAGAGTTTGCTAAGGAAAAGCGTCTAACAAAGATTAAAATTTCTCATCTAGATTTTTATAAGGGAAATTAAATGCGGTTCACCCTGTTGCTTTCTTCGATTTGGCCATCGCTCTACTAAATTTCAATGATGCACTTCAGTTTAGGTTATTTTTAACTATCTTTAAGAAGTCATTACTTAGGTGGTTCTCCATTCTCTTGCTTGGAATCCTTACTTTTGCCAAGGTTAAGTGGCAATCTGTCCCTCAATTTACTAGCACCTTAAAGCCTTTGAAGAATTCTAAGGCCTTATTATGCATGATACAAGAACAAGGTGAATCTTTGAGGAATTTCATTATATGGTTTTAGCAAGAAATTTTAGAAGTAAAAGATTTAGAATTGGATGTAGCTCAGGACATACTCACTCAATATTTAAGGAATGGACCTTTCTATATACACTTGGATTGAAATTTCTGAGGATTTTTGCCAAGTTACTTGAACTACTCTATATTAACGTCGAGTAGTATGAAAGTTAGATTGTCTCTTTGCCGTCTAACTGAACAAAGGACTTCATCTTGATGGGAGTTTATTGGTAGATTTCTGAGGACCACCAAATTCACCAAAGAAACTTGAAGTCAGTCGAGAAGCTGTGCTTTCAGCATCAACAACATCGATATTACAAGCAACCACAACATCGAGAACATCACCCTAAGGGGGAGATAATGAAATATGAAGAATTTTGATGCCAAAAAGTGGGAAAGGTCATTGCCAACTTGCTAGTATAGTAGTATCTAGCTTTTACTTCATTGAGAATATTGATGAATTAAATGGTTGAAGCCAATAAGGGTCGAGGCTTATGCTGGAGATCTTTCTAAATATTATTTGTTTAATAAAAATCATGATCATGGCTTAAAGGTTTGCTGGCACCTCCGCAACCTTTCGAAGAATTGATAAAGGCTATGAAGTTGAAGGAATCAATCCTAAACTTGGAAGAAGAGATGATAAAACACAAATGGAAGAACTAAGTAATGAACTAGTCACAGCTTAAGTAATTCACATTGTTGAGTTTATTCTATTTATACTCGAAGGGGTAGGAGCAGAAACTTTTAGGTTGATGAGTCTCAAAACAACTTTGATCATGAAAGGTAAACTTGGCCACAACATCATGAGTCCCATGTACTTGAGTAATACTTATCGCACTTATTGAGGCAGACAAAATGATACGCCCTAGGGTTTCACAATTTCGGTTTTGCCCTAATTTCCCCCAAAAGAGAGGAAGTTCTCCACCAAAATCAAAGAGAAATAATCACAAGATTGTTGGGATGAAAAACAAGATGTGTTTTAATTGACACATGAAGTTCTATTATATTTCATTTTTAGATGTATTAAAAAAAAAAGAATATAACATTATTTTGTTTAACACCCATTGTTGGCCCACTTTTTGGCTTTTCTGACGACGAACGTAAGAAGATAGAATGAATGATTGCATCATGATGTTGACCCACGCACGCAAAAACATGTGAAAAGAGATGAAAACAATGATTTAAGCAGCGTGCGTCACCACGACATAACACGTCACTTGAAGGGCCAAACATCTTCTGATTGCCAAATGGACTGCGACGTTACAATCAAGACGTTAAATTCGTCTAAGTGGGAACCCCTTGCAGCCAAAACAGATGAGATTAGTCCAAGGGGACGACCGTAATTTGTATACACATAGGTACACAAAAGGGGTAAATGTAATTAAACACCCGCATGGGCTTCGACGAGTATGTTATGGGTACATACGTGATGTTTAGTGAAGCTGCGTGAGTCAATAAATGAACGTAGTTTGAGCCCGATCCTTTTATGCAGATAAATAGGAGTCAACACGGCTCGAACTATCAAACAGATATAAAGTTAGGGTGTCTACCAGAATATTTGTTTTATACGTTCATATAAGACCTCTAACAAAGAAAATTCATCAACAAAGGTAAAATGTCTACGAAACCCAATCCTCTATCGATAGCTCGACAGAGTCGACAAGGTTCAATCCACAAATAGAAATGACCACATTCAACCCGATGATGGTCGTGTTGAATGCAAATCTCAACCGGAGGGATCAATTCCAAATGTTCAAAATGCCCCACCAAAATTCAAAATCTCCAAAAATCCAAAGATGTTTAAAATTGAAATCAACCATCCAACCACTTAAATCAAAACTCATCTATCCTCCACAACAATTTGCTTAGATGGACAAATTGAAAATTACTTCAGCTCATATAGAGCTAATGCCTAATCGAAAATATTACTAGGATCCATTCTCAAATAATCTCCTGCCAGTAAGGATGTGGTGCATGTCATCAGGCCTGCAGTTTTGCCGCCAAATGACTCCGCAAGATAAACAGTTTGACCCGGAGCCCTCTGAACCAAGTGGTTTTGTCGCCAAATGACACCATGAAATGCCTGTTATGGCCAGACCCAATACGTACCTTAGTGGCATCAAATCCTTGAGATATGAATCGATAAAATATGATCGATAGGGCACAAAGCCCTCTATTAGCTAAGGTGGATTCAAGTTTGTCCCCTTAGGTAAATATCCATCTCAGGTCTCCTTAGGTAAATATCCATCTCATATCTATAAGGTCCCCTTGGACAAAGCAAGCCATGGCTGCCGACAAGGATCTTCTGTCAGGTTGGGTCGACTACCTCCTCTGACTAAGTAGACCAGGGACCACGATGGCCCAGGATGACGGAACCATGGGATCTTGATCGGGTCCATCATCCATTCCCCCACCATCCTCATTTAAGTGTAAGGTGGTGAAATTTCTATTTTAAATATCAAATTTTCCAACACCCCAAACCCATTCTGCTACTATATGTTAGATAACATGTATTTGTACATATTTGATTGACGACTAGCCTTAATCGAAAGTTCTCTCTCATGATTGGGAGGGGTAATCAACTATAGGGGCTTGCGCTTATAGGAAACAAGAACTCAGATCATAAAGTCCTCGTAAAATGTGGGTGAAATCTTTGGTTGTGTCTTATCTACAAACCCATTTGCCTTCCAAAATTTACCCCGGAACTTAAATCCGTTAAAACTCCCCCGAAGAAATCAAGCGGGGGAGGCCGGGGCTGAATTCTCGGAGCCCCAAATAGTCGTCTTGTTAGCCTCATCGAGTTTTGTTTTCTTTCTTTCTTTTTTTTAACCGGCTTATTCTTAAAATTTTCTTCTACCTCCTTTTGATGCTTTTTAGGAATTATGACAAGAGCTTTGTCAGGATAATCACCTACTTTGAACACAAGATATGATCCATCTTAAGCTTAAAAGGAAAAGGTTATAGAGCAGCATAGAGCAAGAAGATGACTAAACTTTGCAACCTTCAAATGCATAAATTGGCCACGATCCTGACATGCACAAAACGGTCAAATCAAGGTCGTTAATGATCTGACCACTTATAAAGAAAATATATTTAGCTCTATTATTCATTTTGCAATTATTCTTCAAAGATGTTGGAGAATTGGAAAACTACATAGACATTCCAATATTACCTTGACTAGCATGAGACTAGTATGAGTCAAATTGGCATGGTTTAGTGGATTGTTTTCAAGGCTAGTCAGCCATGTCAAAAGGATCATTCTATTAAAGTTACCCAAATCATAGCAAACTTGCCTTTGAATTTAAATGAAGAAATCCAATTCAATTTTAGGTCTAGTAGTCCAAGCATTCTAGGCTTCTAGCACCTTCTAAAAGCTATTCACCAAACTCACGTAGGCAATTTGCTTGAGTACTAAATCTACTTGACAATGCTAAGGTAAAGTTGGCAAGCAACTTCTTATGAGTTAGACCTCCATTAAACAATCAATATATGCTCATTATGTATCGTTTTGATTACACATCTCATATATTTTACAGTAAGAACTTGATAAGCCTTGCTATGTACTCTTTTATTAGTGTAGCTCAGATTTAGCTTTCCTTATAGCATTGTCACTTGACTAAAGCATACAAATAGGGGTCAGAATTTGGAGCTATTATTCTGTTCGGACACAGTACGGTTCTTCCGTCCGGTTACGCACTCGGTACCGAGCGCGGTATATTTTTATGGTGACGTGATGTATTGTTATTGGTCTCCGGACATCCTCTGGACTTTGCACAGCCTGACACATAAATTTGGAATTTTCTACAATCTAATGAAATCTTAATTTTTCTCTAGTAAGATTCTAATGTTATGAACATTTTGGATCCAACAACGTTATTATAATAAATCTCATCCCGAGGACTTCTAAGATGAAAAAAAAAAAGAACTGATTTCTATGCATCCTGATACATAGACATGAGAAACTAGTTTTGCAAGCATTGTGGGATCATTCCTGTGAAGTATTTCATTGTGGCTCATTTCTTTCTATCATAGGATGCTGATTGCGGTGTTCCTTTTTTCTGGGGAGCTGATTCTGAAGATCATCTTATTTTATCCGATGATGTAGACCTCGTAAAGAAAGCCTGCGGGAAATCATTTGCTCCTTTCCCTAAAGGTACCGTTGAAGATTAACATATATATATTTTTTCATTCAGGCTTCGTTTGGGACCGTTTTTTTTACAACTTTCTAGTATAAAAAAGCTGTCTCTACAGCACTTAAAAAAGCTGTCTCTAAAGCAACTTTAATGTACCTATGAAGTTAATAATTGCTTCCATCAGGTTGCTTTTTCACCACCTCCAAAGGATTACAAAGTTTTGAACATCCCTTGAATGAGTTGAAACCAGTTCCAAGGGTTGATAGCAGAGGGGAGGTGTGTGGTGCGACTTATAAGGTTGATTCAGAGACCAAGAAGCCATCTGGGATGCCTAGGGTTGGCAGTGCTGCAAATTGGTCAAATAACTATTAAGCTAGCAATCATAATCCAACCAAACACTTTCTATTTATTAGTGCTTGTTGCCTTTCTTCTTGCAGTTTCTTTTATTTTCATCAGATGAGAGAACTTTACCAGAACTCTCGGGTGTTGACACCTCTGTTATGTGAGGTGTTTGAGTTTCTAGCTTTCTATCGTGCACTGTGTTATGCTAATGTATTGGACTGTGTTCTCATTTTGACGGTAAAATAAACGTTGAATATTTTCTTGAGTAATTTCGGTTGTTCGCCCTTATTATTATTTTTTATTTGAGCAAGATGAGGGCATGCAGGGGTGTCAATTTTGGGTCATGGGTTGGGTTCGGGTCGAACCCGGAATTGATCAGGCACTATTCTGGTCAATTCGAACTTGACCTGCTTTGGGTTCAGGTCAACCCGACACGACCCGAATGATCTGGGGTCGACCAAAAAATGCTAGTTTTAGGGTAAAAAAAAGTCAAATTTTTATTTTAGGGTTAAAACAGCTCAATCTCGGGTTTTCGGATAAAAATTCGGGTAAAACATGTCAATTTTGGATTTTTGGGTCAACCTGAATCTGACCCTGTTTTTGAAACTAGTCGATTTATTTAACCTGAATTCGACTCGTTTCAGGTTCGGGTTGACATTAATCCAGAATTTTCGGGTCAGGTTTGTGTTGGATTTTCGGATTGTGTCAAATATTGACACCCTAGGTATGCTCAACATTTTATTTTTGAAGATAAATAATAAAAGGGTTATAAGATCAAGATTTGCTAAAGAAGAAACATCTAAAAATTATATTTTGATGATGTATAAAATGATAATATTAAGATTTCATGCTGGATATATAAATTTTTTGTTGCTTTCTAAAACAGTTTTTTAATACAAAATTTTTTTAATTAAAAAAAATTTGTACTAAAAAATCGTCCTAAAAAGTAGTAAGAAAGTTGTCCCAAACCAAACCTAAATTTTGAATTAAAATTTTTGAAATAATTTAGACTAAACAAAACCTTAGATTACAAGTAAAAACACACATGCCTTAGCTATTTTATTCCAGAAATTAGGTTTTATTTTAAATTAAATGTTCTGTTATATTTATTAAGTGGTGAAAATTACTCATTTTAATTAATATTGAGTGAGAAATTGCTCATTTTAGTTTCTATTTAAGGCAGATTGATTTATTATAGATATGTTTGGAAGTAAATCATATTAATATACATGAAATGCCTCAATTTTATTTAAAAAGCTAAAAGTTGGAAAATATTGAAATTAATATTTTCTTTGGAACAATTTAAGCTTTTTTATTTTTATTTTTAAAAGTTAATTTGTCATCCAAAGTTTCAAAAATCTTTCTCCAAAATAAACTTTTTAAAGAAAAAAATTTAAAATAGCAATGAAAATTTATTTTTCAAAAACATTATTTTTTTACTAACTGTTTTTTTTTAATTAAAAAATCTAAAAATTGTTATATAAAAAAAGCTTAAATATATCCCTAAAAATTAAAATATATTATTTTGTTTTAAACTTTTAAATTATTATTTTCTTAAAAACATTCACATGATAAAATAAATGTAAGGGAAATTATTTATATTTGTAGAAGCTTGTTGGAGTATAAAAAATTATAAACTGAAGAAGAAAAAGTCCAAATCATTCAAATAAAAAAAAAATCCTTTATTTGTGTTGGGTCCAAGAGTATTCGCAGCGGTAGAGAAATATAAAATTTAACATCTTGGCATTGTACAAAAATGTGGTATGCTTACAGATAAAGAGAGAGGGTGTAACATTCACCAGAGACACCAATATTTTTACGTGGAAAACCCCTAAAAAAGGGGGAAAAACCACGGGCCCTAGTCCAGTTTGAATGAATATACTAGTATTGCAATTAATTACAAATGAGGCCCTTTCTTGAGAGAAGGCCTTAACTTGATATACATTTTATAGAGTACATTACATGATGATAATACAAAGAATCATTGTTGATGTGCTTGTTTGGTTTGAAGGATTGTAGTTGGTGGGCGACGTAAATCGGAAGAAACATAGTCGGCTGGCGACGGAGGTCAGAAGGACTGTAGTCGATGGACGACGTAAGTCATAAGGGCTGTAATCGGTGAGCGACGGAGGTCGAAAGGACTGTAGTTGGTGAGCGACATAAGTCAGAAGGACCGTAGTTGGCCTACGACTGAGGTCGGAAGGACTGTAGTCGGTGGGCGACGTAAGTCAGAAGGATCGTAGTTGGCGGGTGACATAAGTTAGAAGGACTGTAATCGGTGGATGGCGTAAGTTAGAAGGACCATAGTTGGCGGGCGATGGAGGTCGGAAAGATGGTGTCAGGTAGAAATCTAACAATAGACAGAAATCCAGCATCAGATAGATGCCCGACGAAAGTCTGACAACAGATAGAAGTCCGACGTCTGGTAGAAATTTGGTGATGAGTGGAGGTCCAGCGTCGGGTATAAGTCCGATGTAAGTTGACAGTCGAGGAGAACTCCGGCGTTAGATGTTATTCGGGCAGATCTCCGACGTCACTTGGAGTTCGGGTGGAACTTCAGCATCACTTGAAAGTTGGACAGAAATCCGGCGTCACTTGGAGTTCGGGTGAAACTCTAGTGTCACTTGAAGGTCGGATAGAACTCCGGCATCACTTGGAGTTCGGGTGAAACTCCGGTGTCACTTGGAGGTCTGGCAGAATTCCGGCGTTACTTGGAGGTCGGGCAGAATTCCGGCGGTGGTCGAGTAGGAGTTTCTTCCCTCCTATTCTTCTTATTTTCTTGCTTCGGCCCCCTTTCAAGAGAAATAAGGGATATATTTATATATTTATGGAGTGACATGGCCCGTAAATAGAAGGAGGATCAAGGAAAAATGGGGAGTGATTGGATGGACTACTGATGTTGAACCCTTTGATAGTGGACCATTTGATGGACATTTGTATGCCTTAGTGATGTCAAAATTCAGCAATCTTGGGCTCGTTGGATTTGTCTTGTCGAGCTGCTGTATTCGACTATAAGCATGTCATGTTTGGAAATCATTTGGTAAACCAAATTGTGGTATGAACCTTCCAACAGTGCTTCGGGTCTTTGATTCAGATCCATTTGGGCTTGAATTGAGTTGAATTTGGTGTCGTTGGGTTCGTATTTCCGAGACGATCAGTTCGACTATAAGTTTGCTGAAATCAGAGTTCAAATGATCCCAGATTAAATTTTTTAAGTTTCTAACTTGATTTTTGCCTCGAGATTCGTGCTCAATCAAGATAATTTTTTGATGACATATCAGTTGCCCCCCTATTTTTGAATGTCGAAGCTCCAGAAGTCCGAAAATAATTGTTTTGATATTTAACATTAGTCGAATCGCAAAAAATTGCGTTCAAAAATTAAAAGCTTGCGTAAACTTGATCATAGAGACCCCGTTGAGCTTCAAAAATGTCGAAATTAAGTTTGGAACATCAAAAAACATGTCTAAGGATCCGAAAAATGTTGGATTTGGACTGTCCAGGCCGAAAATCAGGCTCGGACATGCGTAGGCGACCAAACCGGTCGGTCGGCCAGCCAGCCGCCGCCCGCCTTTGCCGGTTACGACGGTGCCCACACCACGCGCTTACAGGCGCGCCCTTTGGGGCCGCGGTTAGGGGGGCCGGCAGTTTGAATTTTTAAATTTAATTTTTTTTGTGGGGCCCACATGGATTTTTTAATCCAAAAAATTTAGAAAAAAAAATTCCAAAAAATTCTAAAAAAAAATAAAAAATTCTGAAAAAATAAAAAAAAAATCAGAAAAATTCTAGAAAATTTTAAAATTTTATTTTATTTCCAAAAAAATGCTATAAATACCCCCCTAGGGCTAGGGGGAAACTTGCACCTTCTTCTTTTCTCATTCTGGCTTTCTTACAGTGGAGACATTCCACTGTTTTTCTTAGATGACTTTTCCTACTTAAATTTGCGCCCCCCTCTTGTACAGAAGTTAGAGTTTTCTCTTTTTTCTCTCCAGTTTTTCTTCTTACTCTAGAGGCCTTCCGCTATTTTTTTGTAGATGACTTTCCCTACTTAAATTCAGTGCTCCTTTTCAGCATAGAAGGGAAAATTTTCTCCTTCCATTATCTTCTCCTCTTGCTATCTTCTTATAATTGAGACATTCCGTTATTTTTCGTAGGTGACTTTCCTTAATTAAATCGGCGTGCATCTTCTTGTACAGAAGTTAGAATTTTTGCAGTCGTTTCTTTTGTTTCTCTTTCCTCATTCTAACTTTCTTACAGTTGAGGCATTCACCTATTTTTTGTAGGTGGCATCCCCTATTAAAATTTAGGGCCCCTATCTGTGTGTAGAAGTTAGAATTTTTTCTCATTGTTCTTCTCTTGCGTTCTTCTTCTTACATTGGAGGTATTCCACTGTCGGAGATAGCGGCATTCCCCTATCAAGTTTCAGTGCCCCTCTTTTGTCTAGAAGAAGTTATGATGAGAGACTATCTTCTTAATAGACAACTCTTGACATAAGAAGATCAATTGCTGCTTGTATGCGAGGGTGATTTGAGAAGATCTGACGATCATAGTGTTCTGGAGGAGAACCAGAAGTGATGAGTAGACGGGGAGAATTTTGATGCTGCTTGAGCGAAATTTGTCGATGATGGATGAACGAGCAAAATTTTGTTGGCAGTCAACGACCGAGTGGAGAGCAAAAGGAGAGAATTTGATGGTTTGCTACTATCAGTAGTTTGAACGAGAAGCCGATGATGGATGATATGAAGTAAATGACTGATGGTGAACATCAGGCAAAGGGACGATGATGACGTTGGTCAAGTTGCATTCTGCTAAGGTGATATGCATCCATATTGACATATGCAGACATCAGATATTCATTTCTTTGAAGAAGAAGTTATAGGAGATGCTTTAATATGCAGTAGAGAAGATGTCAATAGAATCTGCCAAAGATATTTGACCTTTTTGAAGTTGTTTGATGATTGTAACTTGTACATATGATGTAGATATACTTTTAATTTTAGCTTCTAGTGAGAATAGATGTACTCTTGAATCTTGATGTTGGATTTATGTAACTCCATTGCATATGAAGTTAAAAATTTGTCCCTCAGAGGAAATTGATTTGTTTATGCATCTTTGAGTTATGTTTTGATATATTATATAATGTGCTTTTTTTAGGCTTTTTAGCCTGCTAAGAATCTTCATATGCGTGATGATTTTATCAATCACTTACTTTTATGGAATCTTTATAGAGAGAATGTCATTCACTTAGAGCACTGCTTGATGATGTTGACCTCTATAAAAGAGGTCGAGAGAATCTAACAAGAAATATAAGACCTATCCGAGGTTGTATGTTAGAGCACTGCTCGATGACGTTAACCTATATGGAAGAGATCAGGAAAATCTTCCAAGAATGTAAGACTTATCCGAGGTTGTATGTCAGAGCACTGCTCGATGATATTAACATATGTGAAAGAGGTCGAGAGAATCCACCAAGGATGTAAGACCCATCCAGGTTGTATATCAGAATCATGCTCGATGACGTAACTTATGTGGAACAGGTTGAGAGAATCTAACAAGGATATGAGACTTATCCAAGGTTGTATGTTAGAGCCTTACTCGATGACGTTAACCTATATGAAAGAGGTCGAGAGAATCCACATGTGATGTAAGACCTTTCCAAGATTGTATGTCAGAGCCCTACTCGATGACGTTAACTTATATAAAAGAGGTCGAGAGAATTCTCCAAGGATGTGTGACCTTTCCGAGGTTGTATGTCAAAGTATTGCTCGATGATGTTAACATATTTGAAATAGGTCGAGAGAATCCACATATGATGTAAGACCCTTCTAAGATTGTATGTCAGAGCCCTGCTCGATGATGTTAACTTATATGAAAGAGGTTGAGAGAATCCACCAAGTATGTGTGACCTAACCGAGGTTGTATGTTAAAGCCCTACTCGATGATGTTAACCTGTGTGGAAGAGGTTGAATCGAATCCCCTTAGGATTGATTTTGCCTTAATTAGGAGGGAGCGATCGCCGTGTGTATCTCAAATCAAAGGTGAAGAATGATTTATTTTTAAATCGTTACTGCCTTTTTGAGGTCAAGATTAAGAACTTGCCCAAGGAGTAGAAGTCTCGTAAGGGAATGTATAAAGCTTATAATTGATTGGAAGCATCCTTGTATTTGCTGATATTTTCTTGAAATATCATCTTGATGATGAAAACATCGGATGATCTTTTTTACCACAATTAGAGTCAAAGTTGCCCTCCCCCCAATCCGCATCTAATTCTTATGATATTGATGCAGTAATAACTGATGTCAGGATGTTAATAAGAGTGATCTTTTGAGATTGGAATAATAGTTGCCCCCCAATTGGGAACCACGTTTTCACATACGACACCAACCTATTGCATTTAGAAGTATTCACGACAGTAGAAAAATATAAAATTTAACATCTTGGCATTATACGAAAATCTGGTATGCATACAGATAAAGAGAGTGGGTGTATCATTCACCAGAGACACCAATATTTTTACATGGAAAATTCCTAAAAAAAGGGAAAAAATCACGGGGCCTAGCCCAATTTGAATGAATCTACTAGTATTGCAGTTGATTACAAATGAGGCCCTTCCTTCGGGGAAGGCCTTAACTTAATATACATCTTATAGAGTACATTACGTAATGAGAATACAAAAAATCATTGCTGATGTGTTTGTTTGGTCTGAAGGACTGTAGTCGGTGGGCGACGTAAGTTGGAAGGACCGTAGTCGGCGGGCGACGGAGGCCGGAAGGACTATAGTTGGTGAGCGATGTAAGTCAAAAGGATCGTAGTTGGCGTGAGACTGAGGTCGGAAGAACTGTAGTCGGTGGGCGACGTAAGTCAGAAGGACCGTAGTTGGCGGGCGACTAAGGTCATAAGAACTGTAGTCGGTGGACGACATAAGTTAGAAAGACCATAGTCGGCGGGCAACAGAGGTCGGAAGGATGGTGTTAGGTAGAAATCCAGCAATAAACAGAAATCCAGCATCAGATAGATGCCCGGTGAAAGTTCGAAAATAGGCAGAAGTCCGACGTCGGGTAGAAATTTGGTGACAAGCGGAGGTCCGGCATTGGGTAGAATTCCGATGTCAGTTGGCGACTGAGGAGAACTCCGACATTAGATGGTATTCGGGCAGAACTCCTGCGTCACTTGGAGTTCAGGTAGAACTTCAGCATCACTTGAAGGTTGGACATAAATCTGGCATCACTTGTAGTTCGGGTGAAACTCTAGCCTGACTTGAAGGTCGGACAGAACTCCGGCCTCACTTGGAGGTCTGGCGGAATTCCGGCTCACTTGGAGGTCGGGCGGAATTCCGACGGTGATCGAGGAGGAATTTCTTCCCTCCTATTCTTCTTCTTTTCTTGCTTCCGCATCCTTTCAAGAGAAATGAGGGGTCTATTTATAGATTTATGGAGTGGCATGACCCGTAAATAGGAGAAGGATCAAGGGCAAATGGGGAGTGATTGGATGGACGGCTGATGTTAAACACCTTGACCGTGGACCGTTTGATGGACATTTGAATGCTTAGTGATGTCAGAATTCAACGATCTTGGGTCGTTGGATTTGTCTTGTCGAGCTGCTCGATTCGACTATAAGCTTGTAATGTTTGGAAACCGTTTGGTAACCCAAATTGTGGTTTGAACCTTCCAACAGTGCTTCAGATCTTCGATTCAGACGCATTTGGGCTCGAATTGAGTTAAATTTGGTGTCGTTGGGTTCATATTTTCGAGACGATCAGTTCGACTGTAAGTTAACTAAAATCGAAGTTCAGATAATCCCATATTTAATTTTTTATGTTTCCAACTTGATTTTTGCCTCGAGATTCATACTCGATCAAGATAATTTTTTGATGACATATTAATATGCAAAAAAACATTCTTTAATTTTAAACTTAAAAATTATAAAAAGTTTTAAAGTTATCAATTGAAATATAAATATGATTAAAATATAGGTGAAATTAGAAATAATAATAAAAACTTCTGTGCTTTTCTTTATTAAATATCATATATATAATTAAGAATTTATATGATTTATCCTTAGGAGAATAAGCTTGGCTTAGTGGAACTTGAGAGCCATTATACACATTTGAGTTGGCATAATATAATCTTTTGATTAATATATGTTAGGGCTATCAAAATCGAGTCACAGGCCGGGTTCGGATTTGAGGCTCTGGACTGTGAACTCAGAGAGCTATGATTTTGTTTGATTTTGATTTTTTATAAAGTTTTGCAAACGGGTCAGCTCGGGTCAATTTCAGTTAATGGTCTGACATATATCCGACCCATTTGCGGAACGGGTTGATCTAACTGAAATTTTTTAGTCGTGTTAAATATTAAAACCCCTAAATTATATATCATAAATATCATGTCCTTTTCAAATATTGAGTGGTTCAGTATATGGAGAAGAAAAGCTTAGGTAAGGTTCAACTGAGCATTATATATACGACTAAAAAAATTTTAGTCAACTATAAATTCCTAAAGTTGGCATATGATCTTCCACCTACTACTATGCTAAAGTGCAATAGCACTCAGAAGTAAACATCTTTAAATTCCTAGACAAGAATCTTCAATCGAACCCCAAATGAGTATTTGCAGTGACTGCGGAGCTCCAACTGAACGCTATATTCAGCGCCATTTTACCTACACCATTTTTTTCTTCATTTCTTTCGGTTGGAGAAACAATATACTCGATATATTCTTTTTTTATGTTGAAAATAGAATTCAGTTGGAGATGAATTCTTGCATTTTATGGTGTTACTGTATTTTGGAGTGTAAAATGAGGTTTTCGATTGGAGATGATTTTAGGCCTCATATGACGAATAAAATTGATAAAAGATTGAATGATGAAATTTTTGCATTCGAGTATTTTTCCAAAACCCTTCTACCATTCCAAGAAGATATGATCGATACTGGCATTGTATGTGTAGTCGGGTTTTGAAAATATTAACGTTGGAGGATAGTTGCTCACTTAAGAAAGTGTCTTTTCAAAGTTATATTTGTTAAGGAATATTAAGTGGAGTTTCTAGAGGTGGAAATGATATTTTAGGCATATACATAGAGAGTTATGATTCTTGGTAGAAATATTATGAATCAATGTAGCATTTTCTAAGTCAAAATCTACAAAGAAGACAACACCATGGTTTCGTTTGGAACGATTTTATTATAGCTTCTTAAAGCAGAAAATTTTTGTACTAGGAAGCTGCTTTAATAAGCAGAAAAAAAACCGTTCCAAATGAAGGCTTCGTTTGGAACGGCTTTCTTATTGCTTCTTAAAGCAGCTTTTTAGTACAAAAATTAAAATTTTTGTACTAAAAAACTGCTTTTAAAAACAGTAAGAAAGCCGTCCTAAACAAAACCTAAGAGGATAGGAAGAATGATAGAGAGAGCTCATGGGAGAGGAAAAAGGTGAAAGAAAACCCTAACACACTCTCCCTCTCCCCCCTCTCTCTCTCTCTCTCTACTATGACCATTCTCTTAGTTCTACACTGAAACAGACAACATCATTGCATGGTGTAATTGAAAACTTCATTGCATGATAAAAAGTGCAACATGTAAATGACAATTTTGAAGGATTTGTTTTGGTGCACCATTGCTTTGACACCGACTAATAATCTCTTCAGTTTTTATTTTTATTTTTTTTATTTTTATTTTTACATTGACATCATCGTATGTACGAAATCATCATAATTTACTCTCCCATCGCCATCAAAATCTGCCTCCTTTATCATCTGCTCTGCCTCCTCATCTGTCAATTTCTCACCCAAACTGATCAACACATTCTTTAGCTGAAAAAATAAGAAACAATTTTAGCAGAAGGATAATCATATATAGCTATCTAAAAACAAAGGGTAAAATTTATCTGTTGATTATGCTTCGTGGGTTTAGCTAAGCTTAATCTAAGATTTTGTTAGGGACAATTTTCTTACTATTTTATGAAGCAATTTTTTAATTCAAAAATTTAAATTCAAAAAAAGTTTATACTTAAAAATTGCTTCATAAAGCACTAAAAAAGCAATCCCAAACGAAGTCCGAGGGTCTGATTGGGGAGAATTATTACATCAGGTCACCTGACAGAGAGACATATTTTTAATAATATTAGAAAATACCAAGCACTTTGATGTCTACCTATTAATGAGTATTACATGTAATTTTTTAATGCATAATCTCTTATCTTTACAGAATAGTACTGATGAAAATAAATATTACACTCAAATAATATAAAATTTTTCATGAAACTAACCTCAGTGGCCGATATGAAACCATTTTGATCTCTATCAAACACTTTAAAGACTTCCTTTAATTCATCTTCTTTATTTATTTCCTGCAAAAATATATATATATGAATATATACGAACAACAAAAAAAAATAGAAATAGAAAAAATTAAATTAAAAAAGTAGCAAAAATGCAAAATAATTTTGCGTATTCATTTGAAAACACGAAAAGATTTTGCGAATGCGAAAAAAGCAGAACATACTATGAAAAATGCAAAATGATTTTGCAAATAGTTTTGTGTCTTCTATAGAAGACTTCAAATAGTTCGACTTTTTTTAATAAAATGCAAAATAATTTGACGTTTTTGCTCCTTTTTTTAATTTTATCCTAAATTGTGCTCCTATTGCTTAATTACGGATTAATTACGATCCTTTTTAAAAAATTACCTAGTTAGATAAAAAAAAAATTGTTTTCTTACCTTAACATTTTCGTTAATCAAATCCAATAGAACTCCAAAATCAAAGCTTCCTCTAAAATCAAAATCAAATTGGCTGCTCATTTCTTTCAGTTCAATGCTTGAAGAACTCTGCCATATTGTTTTCATGATGATCAGCATCTCTTCCATCGTTATAGATCCTCCTACAATACCAAGAATTTGATCAGAAACTTCTCATATAAAAATATAGCAAGAGTGCAATATATTTCTTCAAAGCAACAATATATTTTTGTAAAAGTACAAATTAGTACATTTTTTTCTCTTAAAATAAATAAAGATTATGAGTTTTTTTCATTAAATAAAATTTTTTTTATATTTTTTATATAAGTCTTTGATTTTTTTAATATATTGATATTATCATTTTTAGTGAATGTTTAATTATAATCATATGTAATTTTGCAGAAGAATTTCTTATTATTTGTCAATATTATAAGACTTTATTTGAAATAATTTTCTTATTGTTTTATAAAACAGCCATAGAGAAAGTGATATTTTAAAATTGTTGTAGAAAGCAGCTTTCTACTACAAATTTTTTTTACATACATACTATTTTATTTCTAACAACTTTGATATCTCAATTTGGAGAATTTACATACATATAACTTTATTTTATGCTATTTACATATCTAATACTCAAAACATTAATATTACATGTCTGCCACCTATACAACAAATATGGATGCATGGAATTAAATATTAAAGTTTATAGGGTGATATTAATAGTAGGAATGAAATATATGAGTAATATATTTGATATTAAAATTGTATATGAACAGTAGACATGTAATATTAATATTTTAGATGTTAAATATGCAAATAATATGAAATAAACTAGTATGTATGTAAACCCCCCCTTCAAAAAATTGCAATTTTTGACATTTTGATAAATTGATTGACATCTATATGTGAAGGACCAATAGACACAATATAAAATTGGGCTTCTTGTTGTTGGATTTGACAATGCTAAAGAAGGTAATTAATAGTGAAATTTTTGTTTGAAAATAGGACCATTCAAATAAATTATAACATAGAAAGTACTTTTATATGAAGCATAACCATAGAACTTTTGACCAAATTCTCAAATGAATAGTCAATCTTCAAAGGCAATTTAATTAGTCAAAAGTTAAAACCCATATTACTTCATTTAAAAAACTTTTGAAAATGTTCATTTAAATAATGTTATATTACAATGTAAATAAGATTTTATTTGAGACAATTTTTTTGTTATTTTATATTTTGAATTGCACCAATAATTTCAATTGATTGCTATTTTTTTTTGTGATAAATAGTTATTTTTTGCAACTAGAAAGGCTGAAATGATAGTAAAATATCTGCTAATTTCTAGCAATTTTAATGAATATTTATAAAGTAAATAATTTTGTGAGGGTATGCAGATGTATTTTACATTAAAATATATTTCAAAGTTTTTGAATTTACATTAAGATTAGCGCAATTTATATACAATACTAATCTTAACACAAAACTATAAAATTTCAAGCAATGTTTCTTATAAATAAAAAGAGGTTTACTTTTTATAACTAAAGTTCTACCAACTATCATAACGAAAGAGATTAGATGAAACTAAGGGTTTGTTTGGGACAGCTTTCTTACTGCTTCTTAAAACAATGTTTTAGTACAAAAGTTTTATTTTTTTTTTCTAAAAAGCTACTTTAAAAAGTAGTAAGAAAGCCGTCCCAAACGAAGCCTAAGTATATATATGATTTAGATTTAAGAACTCTGATAAAAAAAATTTTACCTATCTCTGATTAGCTCCAAAAAAAAAAACTTATTTTACAATATTCTTATAAAATAATAATTAAGATGGATTTTAATTTTTTTTATCTGCATTAAGATCAATGCAATACGCTCATCTCAAAGTATATTTTAAAATTTTAAAATCTATTTAGGATTTGTTTGGGTTAATCGGAGCTTTTATAAAGGTGGTTGTTAAGCTGCTGTGAAAAGAGTAGTTTTTTAAAAGTTGTTGTAGAAAATAGCTTCTTAGCATAAAAAATGTAATGAAAGCTGGTGAAAAATAATAATTAAATAAAAATTATGACTATGACCTAAAAAAATTTATTCCATTAGTAAAAAAAAATAATTAATATATTGACCAAATTTTCTCCAACTACATGCTCTCTTCCACGTACACATTGTAATTAATCTTAAAATGAGATTTGGAGGACATGCTTAGTTGACTAATGACAATTAAACCAATTTGCTAATTATCCACGTTCAACCAACTTCTCCACAAATTTATTAGCCAAATAAAACAACACCAAAGTCTATAAGTGAATTTAAATATCTTTATGTAACGTTAATTTAATGTATAATGTTCAATTCATTAGAATTATATTAAAAAATTTTCTAGGAAGAATTTTTTATAAAAGTATATACTTTTAAAATTTAAAATATGTTGATGAGCATTTCATGTTAGTAAAAAAACGTAATTTTCGACAGAATTTCTGACGGAAATTAAATGGTTACTTACTCTGGCGACCGTCAAATTTTAATAGAGATTTTATAAGCAGAATGATTTTTTGAGACATTAATCATTTGAGATAGATGTAATTTTTTGTAAAGGTGATTATAAAGTTGTTGCGGGAAATAAGTTTTTTGAAAACTATTGTAAAATGCAGCTTCCTAACTCATATTTCGTGAAACCGACGAAAAATCAACCGAAAAAAAGAAATTATGATTGTGATCTGAAAAGTAAAACAACCAAGTAAATTCTTAATCGTAGACTCACATATAGGCTTTGTTTGGGACGACTTTTTTATTGTTTTTTAAAGTATCTTTTTAGTACAAAAATTAAAATTATTATTTTTAAAATCAATAAGAAAGTCATCCCAATCAAGCCATAGACTCAAAATGAAAATGCATCCATCTCAACATGAATATAATGATCGCCCTCCCCCCATTTTTTTTTACAACTTTTAAATTGATAATATACTATGTAAGCAATCAAATCTATTTTATTTTTCCCCTACAAGAAAATAAAAACGAAAAATTATCATTTTGTAAAAACATCTTTCATCCCCAAGCAATCAAATGAGCTAAAAAAAAAAAAAACAGATAATGAGATGATAGAAGAAAGAAGAAGAAGAAGAAGAACTCACCATCTCCATCCTTATCAAGAAGGCAAAAAGCGTCCCAGAATTCGGAGAACTCCTCTTCTGTGAGGAAATCCATGCCTTTCTGTACTCCAAAAAACCGACCGATCGAGGAAGATGACCGACTGTCAAAAATTCTGTATAGGCCTAATGCAATGTATCCAAACTCACCTTTTTATAGCCTTTCCCTCTCCTCTCTCTCTCTCTCTCTCTCTTCCTCTCTGAGCTTCTTCAATGAAGAGCTCTGACTTGCGGTTGCGGATATCTGTCCCCCTCAGTTTCTCTCTCTTAAAGCCGGTCAAGACGGCACCGTCAGAAGAAACGCATGAGGTGGAGATATGGTGATTTTCTTGCTTAAAAAATGGGGGAAAAAGAGATACGGTGATTCGGTCTTTCCATTGAATTGGGGGATCTCAGAGTACTTATTTATTTCTTAATGCAGCATTAGTGCTTTGTTTATCTGTTAATTACTTATCAAAACTAACTGAGTTTCTACGCGTTTCTGCAATTAACCTTTCAACGTTTTATTGATTCGGTCCGCAGCTCAAGGCAGCTCCCACTCCTCTGCTCTGTTTCTGGCTTTCTTGATCGCTATTTGGTCACTATTATATGAACTGGGTATCCATCATGAATAATCCTCAGCTGACTTAGAACATCTCCAAAGGAGAACTCCAAAATTTACAGCAAAATAACACAGATTTCCAAAATGACATGGTGCTGCTCCAATCGAATGCCATTTTAGGTGTTTTTCGGAAGTTAACGATCTTCTCCCTTTCGCACGTTTTACCGGTTGAGAGAGTAAAATGACGTAGGTGAACAGTGCGACTGTTCACCTGTAAGTAAATGACGGAAATTTTTGCGTTCGGTTGGATCGACGGACGGACGGCATACGCTCGTTTGGCGTTCGGTTAGAGATGCCCTTAGAATAGGCACCCACTCCAGAAACCTCCTGACCCGCACTTTGATTGGGGTGGATTTTTCGATACTTTAAAAAATTTATACTAAAAAACTACTTTCTATAATAGCTTTAAAAAGTTTCTTTATTCCCAATGAAATTTTCATCTCACTTTACTTTACTCCAATTTAGACTTCATTTGTGCGGCTTTCTTACTGCTTCTTAAAACAATATTTTAGTACTAAAGTTTTAATTTTTGTATTAGAAAACATTTTTAAGAAACAGTAAAAAAGCTGTCCCAAATGGAGCCTTAATCTCTTTGATCGTACAAAATTGATCTATAAATTGACTAATTGAGGTCAATTTTATATTACAATTATAATACGAGAGAATATTTTGGATTAATTTTGTATAATCAAGAGACAAAACATGATATTTTACAATAAAATTAGGCTTTGTTTGAGACGACTTTCTTACTGCTCTCTAAAGCAGCTTTTTAGTGTAAAATTTAAAAATTATGTACAAAAAAACTCTTTTAAGTAGTAGTAAGAATGTTGTTTCAAACGAAGCCTTATTCACACACAAAAATCTTGGATTTTGAAATATATATGTATACCACTAATAGTAATAGAATTTTACTCACCATTTTTTAATATTTTCTATTTTAAGCAATTCAAAGTTCATTGTTTGAATTCAACACAACAGAGCCGATTTCAGAATTAGTACACAGCAGGCTTTGTAAATTGAATAATTGATGTTCATAATTCTGTCAAGAAAATAGTCAGCATAGATCATTTGATAAAATGAAATAAAATTATTGAGGTATGTAAGGAGATAAGGGGAGTGTAGATTTGCATTAACTGCAATAATTTATATTAAAAGTATCAAGATTTTAGAAGTAACACAATTTTAATTTATATGAGAATAAAATTATAATTATATATCTATACACCACAAGAAATTTTATCTAAACAAATATGAATTTCAAATATTTGAGTAAAAAATGTCATAAATTTATTATCAGGTCATTCAAACTCTATTCTAGGGCTGTCAATATTTGACACGACACGAAAATCCAACCCAGAAAATTCGGGTTGGATCCAACCTGTTTAAAAAACGGATCGGGTTTGGGTTCTCAGATTCGACCTCTTTGAAAAAATGGATCAGGTTCGGGTTGACCCGGCGGGTTGCCGGGTCAACCTGAAAACCCGTTTAATTTAAAAAATCTCGCGCTGCCTGCGAAGCTGCCCGCTGCCCGCGCTGCCCCGCTGCCCTGGACCTGCTCGCGAATTTGCCCTGCTGCCCCGGACCTGCCCGCGAAGCTGCCCCCCTGCCCGCGCTCCCGCGCCTGCCAGCACCGAATTTCTCGCGGCAATGAGGTTTTTCGTCGGCTTTATGACGAATTTTTTCCCTCCTGTATAAACCGCATAGAAAATTAAAACTGGTAGTTTATTTCTGACGGCAATTATTTCCGACAGTTTTCTATGTGAAGGAGCTTCATGAGCTGTGAGAGCTAAAGAACTATATTGCATTTCTCAAAGATTATAATCGATCTTGACTTCTGTCACACGACTATTGTTGCCTAGCAACCAACATCTAACTTATTATTGGACCGAAACTATCCTCTTTGTGAACACCTAGCTTTTATAATTGTTATGAGTAAAATAATTACTCTTAATTTTGTAATCATGTCTTTTTCATTTATGGAGAAGAGCAAACTCTTCTATTTATAATATATAGTGTATTATTTCAACTTGAGAGGGCCGTGATTTTCCCCCTTTCTCAAATTGGATTATCATATTTGCTTCACAAAACTCTAATTATTTTCTATTATATATACAAATCAATACAATAGAACAAACTTCCTTAAAGAATTAAAAAAAAAAAAAAAAAAAAAAACTTCCTTTAAGAATGCTAAATCACATAATATTTGCTCCAACCAGATTACTTATTGTGGCTGAAGAAATCAACGGTTGCTCATCCCATAAGGGTGTTAAAATTTGACACAACCCGAAATTTGATCCGGATCCGATCTGAAAAATTCCGGATTTGTGTCAATCCGTTTATCAAACGGGTCAGGTTCGTGTTCGAGTTTTCGACCCGTTTGTAAAACAGGCCGGGTTCGAGTTGACCCGGAAATCCGAAATAAATCTGATTTGACCCAAATATAGCTTTCGTGTGACCCGAAAATATGAAGCGCGAGCGTCTAGTCGAGACGTCGGTCCGCATCTAGTCGAACTGTAGCTATGTCGTGTTTGCGTCTACTCGCACTGGCGTAGCCAGAGCCAGAGCCTCCGCATTGTTGATGTGTCGAGACATCGCGTCCGCGTCGAGTCGCAGCCAAAGCCTCAGCAAATCTGGTCGACGTCACCTATTGCGGTGACTCCGAAGTCGTGCAACATCTTGTGCGACCCAGCAACAACCAGTAGGTCCTTTGTTCGACGTCCGTCAGTTCTTCCTCTACCACCAGACGCTAGCAAATCCTCTCGACCCCGCATGGTCGCAGCTGCAGGCCGCTCCGACAGCGCCTCACCTCGCCGCCCTGTTGCCTCGGCCTCGTCCGTTTTTTAATCAAACGGGTCCGCATGTCAGGTCCGGTCAACCCGGTAACCTAAGCGGGTTGGGTCCAGGTTGAAATAATTGACCCGTTTCCAAAAATTGGTCAGATTCGAATTGACCCGTTTAGACCCGGGTCAACTCAAATTCGACCCAATTCCGACCCGTAGACACGTTTTGACACCCCACCCCATAAATATTAACAGGTCAAGCACTGCGTTCAGCATTGACACTGTAATTTACTGCTGTTTTGACGTTGGATTTGTCTCAGTTGTCGGAGAATGGGGAAGATCAACAATTAACGATGCTCGATCTACGAAGTTTGGGGAAAAAGTCCTTTTTGACTGTGAACTGTGAGCTTCTGAAATAGTCAATGTTACTGAGGAGGAATTATTCCTGTACTCTAGAAGTTCAATGGCTTTGGATTGATTTAACTGTTCTTGTACGACGCTTCTTCTTATTGTGGAGTGCTGGGGTTGAAGGATTGACTGAGAAATAATTCTCACAGAAAACATGATCACAAAGACGAACTGATCTCATGCAAAAAGAATTTTTTTTGGGGGAGAAAATTTGAGAATCTCAGCCCAATATAGAAGGAAGAAAAAAGTTTGTGTGCAAGTGATGTGTTTATGGTCATGGGTAATACCCGACTTTACTAGCTGGCGAGTTGAAAAGGCACAGACTCGAGGACATGCAATGAGTATGGAAAGAGAAGAAGAATATTTGGGGAAGTGTCTAAGGCTTCGTTTGGGATGGCTTTCTTCCTGCTTCTTAAAGTAACTTTTTAGTATAAAAATTAATTTTTTTGTACTAGAAAGCTGCTTTCAGAAGCAGTAAGAAAGCCGTCCCAAACAAAGCCTAAATAATCTAATAGATTCTTTAGGAAGTACTGTCAACCTTATATTTATACCCTCGTCCTAACCTCCTTTCACCTACTCAAAATTACCAACACAAATAAACGTAAGAAAATTTCTTCACGCTCATAATGGCTTTTAACCGCCTTCAAAATTAAGTGATGGTGGGTGGCAACGAAAAAATGATTGTGAGCGTCTACATTCATCAACAAGAAGACACATCATATGTGCAAAGATGGATGTCAACATTCGTCAATGATACTTTTATCCTCATCTAATTCATTTTTTTCATAACATCATCTTCAACCAAATTTCATACCATCCTATGCTGTCTGTCATTCACTGCATTCGAATTTCAAATCTCACGTCAAAATTCGGTAGGTGAACAGCGCGACACCAATATTGGCGTCGGACTGTTCACCTATGCCAAAACACCATCGCTTGCAAATTTGCCGAAGAAAGGCGAGAAAAAGGAGAAAAGTGCGCGAAAGAGGAGACATATGGTTACCTTCGTAAGAACCGAGCGAGAAAGGAGAGAAATGAATTTCGATTAGAGATGAATTATACCATTTTGAAGTTTTACTACATTTTAGCGTCTAAAATAAATTTTTTCGGTTGGAGATGCTCTAAGATGCTCATTTTAACTATCAACACAATATTCAAAACCCCCTTGACCTTTTAAATAACCATAATAAGTTCTTACTTATCCTTCCCATCTCTTGAAGTAGCTTTATTTAGACTCAAATCAAAATGTTCCACAAATCATCATTTTAATCTCACCAAATCTCGCAATTTTCATAACAAATGTATGCTTCCTTTGGGACAGCTTTCTTAAAAGCAGCTTTTTATATAAAAAATTGCTTTCAAAACAGATTCGACAGAGTTCACCGCCCAGAAATTTGATGCTTTCATGTAAATGGTCGGTGGAAACCGTCAACTTATCAAAACTTAAATTATCTCTTGATTGTGTATCTTTTTATATCTGATAAAATGCACATAGATTATATTATAAAAGTATTAATTGTTTGGCAGTTATGATTCGGTCATCCTCCGATGTGTGGCACACGCTACCAACGTGAATGTTTCATGGCGGCACATCATAAGCACATGAGCTGCGTTCTGCACCGACGTCTGAACATTCTTGTTTCCCATAACCTGCAATTTGTTCTGTAAAATAATGCGTCAGTTCTCAGCTTTGATTTCAACGG